TAAGTTTTTGGTCAAAAAAATATCGATCACTTCACATTAAAACAAATTTTGTAGTTTCCTGTGAAATTTCAAGATTTAAGGTAGTTTTCTGGACTGAAATTCGTATCTCCTTGGAGTATATTTGTGCGGTCAAAATATCGGTTTTCAAGTACGATTTTACACGTTGAAACTTCAGCTTTTAAACCTGAACTCAAAATTCTCAATTTAAATGTACTTGTGAAATCTGAAAATAGAACTGCGGGCGTCGCATTCAAACAAAAATAATTTGCTCTCAAAATACCGATTATTAAGTATGAATTTTATGTAGAAACTTTTACTTTTAAGTTGGAGCCAAAATTCTGAGTTGATATGAACGTTGAGATTAAACCAAAATTTAGGACTGAAATTTAGGTCGAAGAATTTAAAGTTCTGGGTTAAAATATTTCACGTTGAAACTTCGATTTTGGGACATTCAGTCAAATTTTACAGTTTACATCGAATGATTAAGTATAAACGTAAGTTCGCACTGCCATTTTCATTTTCTTGCGAAAACTCGAATAATTGAAGATGGGGCTCCAAATATCGACTAAAATTATTTTTTAGTACAAATTTTAAAATTGTTTTTTTGTTATTTATTAATATTATTTACTAAAACTAAAACTAAAACTATTATCTGTAATCTTAACATTAGGTTAGTTAACTAAGTCACTCCATTGACTTTTCGAGCTTTAGTCTCACATGAGATGTGAGACAATATTTACACGCACACCATGCTCTGTCCTTAAAACACTATATCAATTCAAAGGGCTTCGTTCTCTTCAATCTGCGGTATAAATTCTGATCTAGTAGCTGGCTGGCTTCTGCGTTCGGATGTAGTTGTAGTCTAGCTTGGTGTTTCTTTGCATACCGTTTGATTGCCTGTTCAACAGTCAGGATTCTAAGGTCTCTGTGAAGATCATTATTTCTGACAAACCATATATTGTATTGGCTATTTCACGTAATGCCTTATTTTGGACCGTTTGAATCTTTTTTATGTGTGTGCTTTTTGTGCTTTCCCATAGCTGAATACCGTAGAGCCATGTAGATTTAATAATTTGTTTATAAATTAAAAGTTTGTTATACAAAGTCATCTTGGAATGCCTGCCAATCAGCCATCTATATTGCGCAATTTTTATTTACAACTCTTTTGCTTTCTTTCTGACATGTTCGTTTCATCTTAATTTAGTGTCAGTGTGGTAAAGTCATACCAAGGTATTTCGCAGTATTTGCATATGGGACGCTGGATCCATTAATATTTATTACTGCGGGATCTGTCAAATTTTGGTTGGTAAAGTTAACATAGGTCGATTTAGTTTCGTGAAGTTTAATTTTCCACTTGGCTTCCTGTAGTTTCTGTGCCGCTGTTACTCGATTTGTGTCAGTTGACATTAGTCCCATCTCATCCGCATATGTTGCTATTATAACTTCTTTCGGTTGGGGTACATCATCACTGGTAAAAAGTAACTTCATGTCATACTTTGTCGAGCGCCTGCGATACGTCGAGGAATATTGCTGAACCGACTTTCTTTTCTTCTAGTGGCTTCTCTATTATATCAGTTATTCGGTGCACTTGATCAATTGTAGAGTGGTTTGATCGCAATCCAAATTGGTGATCGCGGATTAACTTTAGTTTCTCTAATATTTGTTTAAGTCTTTTCAGCAACAGTTTTTCAAAAAGCTTTGATATTATTAGCAAGAGGGAAATTGGCCTGTACGACTTAACATTGTGTTGAGGTTTACCAGGCTTGGGGACCATGATGACTGATGATGATGATGTGTTAACATCAGTATCTCCTTTTTTGGCAGTTATTTCAGGATTTGTCTTATAATTAAATCAAACTCAAGAGCCTTTTTTGGGCTGAGATTATTATTAATTTCTTCTGCTACATCTTTCGGAGTAACAGGAGCAATCATGTCGATCCAATTGGAGGACGAAATATTGTCTGAAACCGGTCGGTTATTGTGTTGGTTGTTTTGTATGTCGTCTGGTACAAATACGCCTGTGCAAATTTGTGTATCAAAGTTTATAGCCTGAACTTAAAGTTCTAAATAGAAATTTCAACTTTCCAAATTAAAATCCATTTGAAGTTAAAATTATCCATTAGTAATAAATGTTCTGAGCCTTGTTGAAACTTCTGAGTCAAAACTTTGGGTTTGCAATTTAAATTTGTATCTTTCAGTTTGAATTTCGTGTTTTAAACATTCGCTGTTTTGCGGGTTTTAAATTCGAAATGTTGTGTTTTATACCCGAAAGTATTCTCATCTTCTAACACAAACTCGAATAATCTAAGACTTTTGGTGATAATATCGACTTTCAAGTATTATTTTAAGCAGAAACTTGGATTGTCGGAATTGCAGTGCAATTTTACAGTTTTCGTCGAATTTTCAAAATTTAAAACAAATTTACGTACTGAAATTCTTATCGTCGCGTATATTTGTTGCGGTCAAAATATCGGCTCTCAAGTACTATTTTACAAGTTGAAACTTCAGCTTTTGCACCCGAACTTAAAATTCTTAGTTTAAATGGACTGAAACCTGAAATCAGAACTGCGGGCGCTGAAATTTTCATCTTCCAGCATGCATTCAAAACAAAATTAATTTGCACTCAAAATACCTATTATTAAGTATGAATTTTATGAAGAAACTTTGATTTTAAAGTTGGAGCCAAAATTCTGAGTTCATATGAACTTTTTCATGATTAAACCAACATTTAGGACTTATTTATAATCTCTCAAAGCAAAGTCGAAGAATTTAAAGTTCCGAGTCAAAATATCGATTATTTCAAGTTGAAACTTCAATTTTGAGACATTGTTTAAGTACAAACGTAAGTTCGCACTGTGAATTTTATCTTTCTGCGAACACTCGAAGAATTTGAAGATTGGACTCGAAATATTTACTCTCAAGTACGAATTCCATGTCGACATTTTTGTGATCTGCGTTCTCTTATATTTTTTTAAATTATGTTTTAGTTTACATTTTAAAGTTGAAATCGTATTTTCAACCGCTTTCCCGATGAAAACTTTAGGACAATAACTTTGGTAACTTTGGTGGTTTTTCCTGGAATTTTAAGTTAGGGATTTGATTGTTAGGATTGATTTCGTGAGGATTGTAAGTTTTCGAATTTTTTGTGCAAATTTGTCTAACTGAGTCTATTGCCGGAACTTGAAGTTCTAAATATAAATATCAACTTTCAAAATGCCATTTGAAGCTAAAATTGTTTATTAGTAGTAAATGTTCTGAGCCTTGTTGAAACTCCCGACTCAAAACTTTGGATTTCCTGGAGCAAACTCTCTATTTTGCGGTTTTTAAATTCGCAGTGTTGTGTTTTAGACCCGAAAGTTTTGCTTTTAAGTCAGACTTTAATTTTCGCATTTGAAAACATATTTCTGATTTTTTTGACTGAACTTTTTGGCTGTAATTGACAATACATTTGTCGAATCAAGTGGAACTTCCGCCTTTTTCGCATTTTTAGTTAAAAGTAGTAAGTAAATGTTTGGAACCTGAGCTTCAAATTTAACAAGTTTTCAATTTAAATTTTCAATGTTTTTTACGTTGAAAGTTTCTGTTCAAATGCCAGTGTTTAAATGCCAGCGAATAATGTACATAGAGAAAGTAAAAGGGCCTAAATGGTTTCTCTTTGCCCATTTAACTGCCACTCTAACAAATTACCCTGGATAAGTTACATTATTCATTTATTTTAATTAAATTAAATATATAATTTTAATTAAATGAACGCTGCTTTCCTTGGAATCCATTTGGAAAATTGATCCACGCATCGTTTGCCTTTAAGGTAATGGGATTGTGTTCCCCCTTCGCTTATTGAACTGTTTTCTATTCTTCGATTGATTGCAAGGAAAACTGTGACAATTTGAAAGTTGTCTGCTTTTTCAAGCAAGTTTTGTCCTGTAATCCATCAGTACTGAAAGTATGCACATCAGGCCAACGTTTTATGAATATTTATCCAGGAAAGCTTGGGGAGAATTACAATTCAGAGAATATTGTTTTATCTCGCGTCCGCAACTTCTGAAACTGCCATGAAATCCCTATCGGATCCCTTAAAAAGTCATGCGGGCCGGAATATTGCCCCGAACTCGCTATTTTATGTAAATATGGTTTTCGGTGCAAGTACATAATGTTCGTTTAATGGCCACCTGATTTATATAATCTCTGAACGGTTCTTCTAGGTGTAAATATATTTTTTCCGGCTTAAATTCACCAAATCGTATCCGACCCACACATGCTGGCCAATGAACCTTCTTGGATGCGTCGTGGGCCGCTGAAACCTACCTTATACAATCGCCTTGCGTTCTAAACGCCCACCAATTCGTAAATATTGTTTTAGGCAATGACAGCCTTAATTTGATGCGAATTTTATTTATTTTTCATCGGCAGGCTTGGCATTTTGTTTGTCTTCAGCAAGTCAATGAGAGCGAGTGCGATAGAGCTAGTGTGGGCTAAATTGTCATTTTCCTGGTGCTTTATGATCAGGCTTAGAACGTCTTTAATCAATGAAAGCGAGTGTGGGATAAACCTGCCTGGAATTGGTTTTATGCATTGACAAACTGAGGATGCTTTCCAGGATTGAGAGCGAGAGTAATAGAGCTAGTGTGGGCTAAATTTGCGTTTTTTTAAGACTTTCAATTGGTTTTTATTGGTTAACATTGGCAAACTTAGCACGCTTTTAATCAATGAGAGCGAGTACAAGAGAGCAAATGTGTGATAAATTTGCATTTTTTTAATGATGCTTCGGATTTTGTCTTTTATCATCAATTAATGAGAGCGAGTGCGATAGAGCTAGTGTGGGCTAAATTTATGTTTTTCCTCGGATTATTTCTAAATGGTTTCAGGTATTGATGAAATAAACTGGTTTTGGGCAAAGACAATACGAATTTATTTTGGTTTTCATCATCAGGCTTAGAATCAATGAGATCGAGTATTGGATAAAACAGCGATTTTTAGCTGATAATTTCTATTTATTGCAGGGGTCCAAACGTTTCGATACTACATGTGCGCAACTCCTCAGACCCTCGAGGACCAAACGCGCCCTATTCTGCTGCAGCCCGATCGTACTTTGCTTCGTCACGCAGCACCACCGCCACATCTAGTAACCAATCGTCGGTAGGACGTTTTTTGGAAAATTAAATTAAACCAGATTAGAAATTGGTTTTTTCAGGGACCGTCGCTGACTAAGCACCAGTCGCTAGGGAGCAGCACCAGCAGCAGTAATGCTCAGAAATGGACGAATTCATCGAGCTTCCATAGCGGATCCGAGATGAATTCGCCAGGAATTTTCACTTTCAGCGGCAGCTGCAACAGGGAATTGTCCCCAGTTAGGTGAGTTTGCTTCCCTAAACTGTGAAAATTAATAAAAAATGGATAAAGCAATAAAACACGAGTGAACGGGCCCTAAAGCCATGTCGTTAACATGGCAAACGGCCCCTGGCTGTGACGTTGATTAGAATTTGCATATTCCAGTCCTATTTAGGTTTCAATAATAAATCGTTAGTTCTGAATTTCATGAGTTTCATAAGCTCTGCCACTACAATGTAATAGGAATTGGATTCGACCGGGGTTTATTGGCGCAGCATTACGATGATTAATGTTCGAAGCCTCAGAAGACAAAAAGTCCTCGCAATCTATCTCTTGGTGTGGATTTTTCTGATTTTAAGGGAAAAAAGTTCCCGATCAGTTTGCCCCGTCAATTTGTGCGTTTCAGTATTCCGATATAAAGCAAAAACCCCGCAGGGATGTTTCCTTTAAATGAGATTTTATCAAGGGTTTGTTTGAATTTCGGCTCTTTTGAAATGCCCCAGTTTCGATATTTTTGGAAACACTTGGAAGCGAAAATTAATAAAGCCACGCAACGATATCGAAGGAATAATATGGAAGCTTCACGTGAAAGGTCTGACTAGGAATGGGGGGAAATTCGAGGGGATAGAGAAATGGTTTGAATTTGAAAGAAATTAAACCATCAAAAATCAGAAATTTCCGATTTAAAACTCAAGTTGAACAGCGGAAAGAAACAAATTTATAGGTAAAACTTTGTTCTAAAACCTCATTGTGTTAAAATAAGTTAACGTCTACAGCTAACATGCTGTTTGAACTTTCCATTATCGCTGTCAGCATGTGGGGTTTTCTTTTTCCACGTAAAAAACGTTTCACATATTGCACAGCAGATGATCAGGTTGACTATGGCATCCCCAGCGGAATTGAGAACGAACTGAAGGCAACATTCGAATAATTTGATGTATCTTTTTCTGAAAGACGCGGGCTGGCTGAATTACCAGAAAGAAGCCAACAATGAAAGCCAGTTGAGGCATTTCCTTTGAGCAGTCCAAGAATGGTGCGTCCCAATAAAACTGCTTACTCAGGTTGGCAAAGTCTCTGAATAGGATAGTACGTAAAACCTAAACAAATCATCTTTATGGCTAAGCATTAAGAAGTCGCTTCGAAGTTTAGAGCCGCAAAGTTCTTTAAAAAATGTTCATCGAAGTGGCCAAACTTCGGGGCTCGCCGGCATGATAAATGGTTCTCAAACTTTCGAAGATGTGGATGGGGCGCAGCTGGAAAACGCGAATTAACTGATTTAAATATAAAAGCAAATGCGACAATGGCTCCTAATGAATTGCGTACATTTAGTACGGTTTTTTAGGGGAAAAATTAAGCGATTTGTAAATTGTCCAGCACAAAAAGCAAGCGACGTTATCGTTATCCGTTTTAAGTAAGGTTCGTTTTTGAATTTGTTCAGGCTGCCGCCAAAGCACCTGGTTACTCGAGATAGGCCCCCATTCGATCCATCATTTTCTTTTCGTCCAGAAATATATAAAATTAAATCGTTGCATTCGGTAATCTATCGATTAAGCCGATTAGAAGGGCAGCGCGCGCTCAAGAAAATTGGAAAAATAATCCGTTTTGTTAAGCGCCTATTTTACTGATTTGGCCGCATGACCGATTCGATCTATGAGGGTTTTTTCAGTTCATTAGTTTAGTCTTGATATTGAAGTTTTTTTGCAAAAATTCCTTATCTGAGTGACTTCAATCATGGAATACCCATATTTTAAGTTGATAGACATTTCCAGTTCACGCTGGAAATTTTGAAAAATTCCGATGTTGGGTTCAAAGTTGGAATTTGATGTTGAAAGTTCAAGATTTGAGGCAGAAGCTGGCACAATGTTGATTTGAAGTCGCAAACTTTGTAGGCCTGGGTAATTCAGTGAATTTTTAGGAGTTGGCACAGTGCAGCGCAAATGGCTTGGTCACGCCCACGCATCGGCGCAGTAACTCGGTTCCGTTGCTGGGAAAATCTTGGCAGTTTTTATTTAGTTGCTTTTAGATTATTGGTGTTCAAATACTGACAATCTACAGGCATTTCCTGCGAAACATTAGAAAATAAATTTTATTACAATACTCGCCTCCTTCGTCGCTTTGTAAAAAGTTTTGAAATCCGAAATTTGGTCCCAAAATTCGGACACCTTTTTATTAAAAAACGAACAAAATATGCGAAAGTTTATAATAAATCATTTGAAAAATTCATCACTTCTATTCCTCTGAAGACTGTAGAATTTGTTAATAAGACTGTGGTTTTTTAGTCTCGACTGAATTTTTTTCGCTTTGCTTTCTACTCAAAAACGCTTTATTTTGAATAATTTTATTTAAGAATACTGAAAAACTGGAAGTCTTTTGCGCGAAAAATTACAGGATAGATTTATAGCTTTGTCGGATTTTTGCAAAACCTTTTTTTATTGTTGAATTCGGGACAGAAACTAAAATAACTTATACTGTTTTTTCCCGATAATCATTAGGGTTTTCTCAAAATACCAATCAAAAATAATTATTTTCTGATGCTTCGCTTCCTGCCAATCATGGGTCTTTTCAACCAAAATACGATAAAAAATACCGACAATCGTCAGGTATTTTCTGTGAAAGTTTTAAAATAGATTTCATTGAAACACTTACCAGCTTTGAAAATTTTTTTCTCGAACCCTAATAATGTTTTTTTTATTTTTTTCCAAAAATGTTTTCTCGCACAAAACAAGCGAAAGTCTATAATCAATTATGTCGGAAACTCGTCACCCGCGTCGCTGTGAATAATTTGATTTTTATTAAATTCCGGTTGCTTCACTTTTAGGTCAATACTTCTAAACACGTTATACTGTAAAATTCTCACAAACTGAGAGTCTTTTATGCAAAAAAGTTAAAAGATGAATTTTCGTCTTTTTCAAATACCCGTCTTCCTTATCGGCTTTTTCAAATACCCGTTTTACCTTTGAATTTGGGACAAAAACGAAACGAAGTTCTCTTGTTATTTTCGACGAAAGTAAAGGTTTCCCAAAAAAACGCTCAGAGACAGCAAAATCATATAATGAACTATTTGTCACCCTCATACGAAGCATTTAATTAAGTTTCTTAAAAATTTCCGGTTTTTCCTATTTTAGGAAATAAATATTTTAAAACAATCGGTTCTACAGAAAAGGTAACTCAGTGAATTTTTAGGAGTTGACGACTTTTTGTTAGATGCTTAAATTCCAATCTCGGTCATCGATAAATGAGTCATAATTCATTAACCGATGAGTTAAAACTTTTTAACTCAGAGAGCGGCAACAACTCAATAGCGCAACTCAACACAGTGTTACCCAGGCCTACGCTAGATTGCTAAGGGAATATTCTGTTCATGGGGCCAGTTTCGATTTTCAGACACCATCAGGGAATATTCCACCGATTTTTATGTTTCCAGAGAAAAATCGTGAAACACTTTCTCTAAAAAAGCGTATCTTGGAAACCTGTAGAAGAATTAGATTCATTATTATTCAAAGATTCTAATGAATGTATTGTGCTCAATAGGAAGACAATTTTTTTATATATGTAAAAAGCGTAGCCTTTCGGCCATCTTCAGGCAATTTTCCAGGAATTTTTAGAGTTTGGACAACTTTTCCTTCAAAAGCGTGCAGAAAACCACAAAATGCCTGCTTAAAAAAATGGTTTCCCTGAGAGCAAAAGAGCATTAAAATTGAGGTTTGGTGTACTAGATAGAGAAGAAGAGTGAAACGTAAACTTTTGCGTCTGGTTTGCTCGAGAATTTTTTAAATAATAATTTCTCTGAAACCGAGAGAGTCATAAAATTGGGGTTTTGTGCATTGGATAGAGGTGGAAACATTCTATATGGAGGGCAGGTTTAATTTTTTAAATGTTTTCAGGTCGATTTTGCAAGAAATGTTAAGTTTCGAAATACATTCCGTCAGTCGAGTCGCTTACAAAAATGTCATGCTTAAAAAATTAATTTCTCTGAAAGTGCAAAGAGCACAAAATTATCGCTTAGTGTGCTAGATAGAGAAAGTTTTCCCAAAAAACGCACAGAGAAGGCAAAATCATATAATCAACTATTAGGAAAACTCGTCACCCCCATCGCACTGAAATGTTTTTAAGTTTCTTCAAAATTTCCGGTTTTTCCTGTTCTAGACCAAATATTTTCGAGCAATCGTTTCGCCCGAAAGGATATCTCAGTCAATTTTTAGGAGTTAGCCCAGTGCTGCGCAAATGGCTTGGTGCGCTAACCCAACGCACGGGCGCTCCGTCCCGTTGCTTGTTAAACGTTACTCAGAAAAAAAGTTGATGAATTTTTTTAGATGTTAAAATTCCAGTCTCAGTCATCGATAAACGAGTTATAACTCATTAAGCCATGAGTTAAAACTCATGAACTTAAAGCGCAGCAACAACTCAAAAGCGCAATTCAACATAGTGTGACCCAAACCTAAAATTTTGCATTGGAATTTGGCCTTTGGGTTAGTTTACAGTGTCAATTCGAGTAGAAATTTTAAAAGTCTTAAAATTCCAAAAATATTAAAATGTTTCAAAAATTTTTCTTTTGACTTAAGCATGAAAAAATACAACTGATTGATTTAATGGGCAATACAGAAATACACCTGATTAATTTCCAGAGATGGAAGTAGAGATTCAAGGCCAAATTATGTTGCAAAAAGCTTAATATTTGTAATTGAAGTTAGAATTTTGAACCTAAAATGGGAATTGGAGTTTTGAGTTTGTATTTATAGAAGAGTTTAAAATTGCTGCTAAAATTTTAACAAAAATGTGACATTGAAGTAGTGTTTTTCTCTTAGAGGTTCAAATTGAGTCTGAAATACGAAAGGTGTTCGATGTTCGATATGAATTTCTGGGGTTTCTCATGCCTAAATTGCACACATTTCACGCAAAGTGAGTGTCATTTGCTAATTTTCCCAGGATTGTAGGAAATTTTTGCAATTTCCAGATGGTGCGACCGCGAAGTGGACGGCGTCTACTTGGGAAAGTCTGGTTGGGTCCAAGTCCAGCAACGATCGCTGGAAGATAGTCGCAAAGCCAGCTACTCGATCAACGTGGCCAAGTCCCTGCAATCACGTCGAACTGGCCTGAAGCTGGCCAACTATCATTTCTACAGCGAACCGAACAAGTTCAGCGACTATTCGCGAACGAACAGCGTCGAGTCGCAGGGCGACAACCGGCCCGAACCCAAAGTAGAACCAGCGAGAAGAGAACTGCATTCGGAACCACGTCCTGTGCCCCAAAGACCTGCCGCTTTGCAGTTGCAAACCCGCAAGTTCACTTCGCCACCACCTGAGCCTGGTTCACCTCCATCGATCACCCCGATCATTTCGCCGCCTCTGGCTTTCCAGGACAAGAATCGAAGTCCCTCCAAGTCCAGAACGTTCTTCGGCAAAGCCCCATTTCTGCCGCGTTCAAACGCAATTGAGGACAGCGACAACAGTCCTCCAACCTCGCCCCTGGGAGGCGGCCATTGGGTAACCACGGCGCCCAATGCGCCCGTTCTGACCAAACCGGTGATCAAAACGTCGCCAGGCGTTCAAAAGCCGCCCAGAACGTTTAAGAAGGTGCCCCAAACTAAGTCTCTGGAGGACACGACTGCGTCCAGACGCATGCAGTTTAAGCACCAATACGGATCGTCTTCCAGCTCGTCCAGCTCGATGGGCTTCAGAAGTCTGGACAGTTGCTTGAACCGCACCAGCAGCGTTATGCCAAAGCTTGTGGAGAATGCTGATTCTTCGGTCGATGTTTGCGGGGATGCGGATGAGGAGGACAATAACAGTTCTTCGGCTAATATGAACATGATCAATCCGAATCTGCTGCAGGCGGAGTTCAATCGGAAGCTGTCGCCTTCTGGTCGGTCGAACAGGCTCACTCACTATCGGTGAGTTTATTTTCAGTTGAAACGCACGCGTTTGTTTGGGTTAGTATCTTTCTTTGAGAGCAACAAACTTGCAAAACTATCAATTTAATACACAGGGTTGTTCAGATTATACGACGAGGAAGATTGCAGATGAACTATTTAAGTTTTAAAAATTTGCATTTGATGAATAAATGGACGAATTTGCATTAATTAAATGGAACACTCTGTACCAAGCTTGGGTAACTGAGTGAATTTTTAGGAGTTGGCGCAGTGCTACTCAAATCGCTTGATGCGTCAACCCAACGCACCGACGCAATAACTAAGTTTAGTTGCTGGGAAAATGTTGAAAATGTTTTTTTACTTTTTTACAAACTTCTTTTTGGGTATTTCGCCTCAAAAATTTTTGTCTTTAAAAAAGACAGAATGTCCTCACATCTTTTATTACAGATTGATAAATAGTGCTGCTATTTCGCAATAAGAACGAATTATTTATCAAAAAGTAATCAAGAACTATCATCTAGAGGGTATCCTGCGACACACTTGGCTCAAGCTGTAAGAGAAAATTCAGTTAATAAAACCTATGAAAGAAAATGTATTAATCAAAAACAAATTCATAACCATAAACTAGAAAAATTACTCAACGAAAAAATCAAAAAAGACGTTTTTAGTATAAAAAATTAAACAATTTCTGGACAAAACAATTATAAATTTATCTAATAAATCATTAACTGAAACCGAAAAACTCGTTCTTTCTAAAGGTTTAAATTTTTCAATT